TAGTCTTATTATGAGTCTGCCTATTCTGTTCCCCCTCACACCCTGTCAGGAATGGACTCAGCACTGGTGGTGGGACTCACCTGCCGTGTGTGCTGCAGTACCAGAGCTGACCAGCGGGTGCTCTCAGCACTGGTGGTGGGACTCACCTGCTGTGTGTGCTGCAGTACCAGAGCTGACCAGCGGGTGCTCTCAGCACTGGTGGTGGGACTCACCTGCCGTGTGGGCTGCAGTGCCGGAGCTGACCAGTGGGTGCTCTTAGCAGCCAGAAGCTCACAATCAGCCAAACCTGGGGCTGATTGCAGAAAGGTGTGTATATAAGGCATGACCAGGCCAGTGCTCTGGGCCTTGGTGTATGGTTTCCCATGAGCCTCTGTACCTGTCATCCTGTGTTCCTGCTTCGTTGCTGACCCGGCTTGATTCTGACCTCTGCTGACCGTCTCCTGTTAAACCCCTGGCTTGCCTGACCATCCTTCTGCCTGATCCCCTGTACCGCGCTGTCCGTGAGTTACTGAACCCGGCTTGTGACCTTGACTATTCTCTGCCTGCTCCTTTGGTACCTTGCTGCCCGCACGTTGCTGACTTGGCCCGTCTTACCACGCTAACTACTCTGCCATCCATCCATCCTGCACGGATCCAGCCGTACCTGCACATACAGTCAGGTCCATAAATATTGGGACATCAACACAATTCTAACATTTTTGGCTGTATACACCACCACAATGGATTTGAAATGAAACTAACAAGATGTGTTTTAACTGTAGACTGTCAGCTTTAATTTGAGGGTATTTACATCTAAATCAGGTGAACGGTGTAGGAATTACAACAGTTTGCATATGTGCCTCCCACTTGTTAAGGGACCAAAACTAATGGGACAATTGGCTTCTCAACTGTTCCATGGCCAGGTGTGTGTTATTCCCTAATTTTCCCAATTACAATGAGCAGATAAAAGGTCCAGAGTTCACTTCAAGTGTGCTATTTGCATTTGGAATCTGTTGCTGTCAACTCTCAAGATGAGATTAGAGTTTGCCAAACGACATCTAAAAAAGCCTTCACAGTTCTGGAACAACATCCTATGGACAGATGAGATGAGACCAAGATCAACTTGTACCAGAGTAATGGGAAGAGAAGAGTATGGAGAAGGAAAGGAACTGCTCATGATCCTAAGCATACCACCTCATCAGTGAAGCATGGTGGTGGTAGTGTCATGGCGTTGGCATGCATGGCTGCCAATGGAACTGGTTCTCTTGTATTTATTGATGATGTGACTGCTGACAAAAGCAGCAGGATGAATTCTGAAGTGTTTTCGGGCAATATTATCTGCTCATATTCAGCCAAATGCTTCAGAACTCATTGGACGCCGCTTCACAGTGCAGATGGACAATGACCCAAAGCATACTGCAAAAGCAACCAAAGAGTTTTTTAAGGGAAAGAAGTGGAATGTTATGCAATGGCCAAGTCAATCACCTGACCTGAATCCGATTGAGCATGCATTTCACTTGCTGAAGACAAAACTGAAGGGAGAATGCCCCAAGAACAAGCAGGATTTGAAGACAGTTGCAGTAGAGGCCTGGCAGAGCATCACCAGGGATGAAACCCAGCGTCTGGTGATGTCTATGCGTTTCAGACTTCAGGCTGTAATTGACTGAAAAGGATTTGCAACCAAGTATTAAAAAGTGAAAGTTTGATTTATGAATATCATTCTGTCCCATTACTTTTGGTCCCTTAACAAGTGGGAGGCACATATGCAAACTGTTGTAATTCCTACACTGTTCACCTGATTTAGATGTAAATACCATCAAATTAAAGCTGACAGTCTGCAATTAAAGCACATCTTATCCATTTGATTTCAAATCCATTGTGGTGGTGTATAGAGCCAAAAATTTTAGAATTGTGTCAATGTCCCAATATTTATGGACCTGACTGTACCTCTGGCGGATCCCTCTACCACTAGCAGGTGTACTCAGGGGCCGCGACCTGGTTCCTGTCTGCTCCAAGTCCATCCCCACCATCAGGGGCCCTGGTGAATAAGCAGACTGGGACTTAGACTCCGCGCCCTGGGGAATCCTGTCCTGGGGACCACTAGAGGTACCACCAAACGGTCACTACAGAACCCTACGGCCGGCCTGACCGTTCCACCTCTCCAGCCCTGACTACGCCTGTGTTCCTTCACCTCCTAAGATTAGTGGAAGGTTGGTTTGTTCACTGTGCGTTTATATATATATATATATATATATATATATCTGGGTGGCTAATAATAACTGTATTATACTGTACCTGAGACCTGCGTTTCCCTGTGTCAGTCCACACCTTTCTGGTCATTCCTTGATTCCTGACACACCCCTGTTACCCCTTTATCCTAATCTAACGTTTCCCCCTCGTGTTATTTTCACACGCACACATCCTGCTTATATATGCTCAACCTCCAATGGGGACTATAAATACCCCCTGTCTGGAGTCAGGGGCTGACTGACAACTCATGGGGCCCCCAGGTAATAGAGGATCATGGGGCCCTGTGTCCTCGCCGACACCCAAAAAAGCCTATGAAAAGGCCAATGAAAGGTACCAGGGGCATCACATGGGGCCCCCTACTGACCCCGGGCCCTTGGGCAGTGCCCGAGTGCTCGATTGGTCAGTCCACCCCTGTCTGGAGTACATCTTCTTTCCTTCCAGCCCCTCCAAATTTATTGTGCTTTCCCTGCTCCTCCTTCCTTTCTCGCCTCTAGGTAAACCCCCACCTCCCCTCTAAACTCACCAACAGATTTTCCTATGTATTGTAATAATCTTTTTTCTATTTTCCTTATAATTACCTATATAACAATGATTAATACCATAATGCTTATTGATTGAACCCAATAAATTGCTCTTTCTTCTTTAAGATACTAGAGCAGGGGTGGGCAAACTTTTTGACTTGAGGGCCGCAATGGGTTCATATATTAGACTCGAGGGCCGGACCAAGAGTAGATGAATTAAAATTTGTAACATTTCCCCCCTGTGTCAATTTACTTACCTTTGCTCCGCGCGTTCCTCTCGCCGTGTTCCCGCGCCGTTCCGGTCTTCAGGGCGGACTGTAAGAGGAGCCTAGCTCCCCTCACGTTTTTCGTCACGCTGCCCCGCCTACACACATCCTGACAGCCAATCACTGGCTATCAGGATGTGAGTGGCAGCGAGACTGGCCAATCGTTGCATTTGAGCGCGCTGAATGATGCAATGTTTGCCTGCCCTGGCTGTTTTTTTTTTTTTTTTGTATCACGCTCTGCGGGCCGGATTAAAAGGTCCGCCAGGCTGTATACGGCCCGCGGGCCGTAGTTTGCCCATTGCTGTACTAGAGCCTGCTCAGTAGATGGTATAGTTACTACTCTGCCTATCACCATTTTCATGTAACCACATTGTACTGTTACACCTACTGACAAAGAACATTTATACAATCTGCTCAATCATGGCAACTATACTAGCATAGTGGCCATGAAAGAATTCATTATATATTTCTTTATATAAATAAAAAAATCATTACAATATATGATTTCTCTTTTTTTCTCTGTGACAATTGCCACCAGTACAAATGTAGCAGTAAATCCCCCCTACTGTTGACACAGACATCACTAAAAACTTGAGAGGGTCTAATCTTCAAATCTATAAAAAAAATTCAAAAAGGGTATTGCTTAGAGGGTTTGCTTGGGGACAATAGCTGGAGTACAGAACTGGTCCCCTGATTGCATTAATTTGCCAGAGAATGCTGTAAAATGTAACTGGAAATGATTGACATAAGCAAATGTAACAGAAAATCAAAATTTCATGCTATTCAAGCATCTATGAAAGCAAAAAAAAAAATCCATGATAAATTTATGTATTGTCAAACACATCTTTGTGACATTTATTGTGATGAGTCTGAAAAAAAATAAAGGTCTGCAATTTTACATAGACTGCATACAGTAACAGGAGATCTGATCGCCACTTCCAAGCATCCATTCTTGAAATATTGTAACATGCGTTACAAGGCGCAAACCCTACACACCAGAGTGTTTTGCACATAAATGGCCTCCTTCTTCAAAGAAAAATAAATACAAAACCAAAGTCAATGTTTAATCACTTCAGAAAATTCAAATTCTACAAACTTTATTTTTCCCCCATAAATCAACAAAGGCTTCTGAATGTGTCTGAGCTCCAGAACACAATGGTTTTAAATAGGGAACTGCAATATTCATTCATAGTAACTGGTAACGACAGGACATTTTCATTTCAGTACCGAATGCAAAACTCACCTTTTATGTTTTACATTTACACAATAAATACATTACTATTTCTCCAGTATGGATGTAGTTTGGGACTAGTGCTTATACAACCGAAGATGTATATTCTGAAAAATAAATACGAAATGAATGAATAAAGCATTTGTACTGAATAAACATTTTTGTTCTCTGGTGTTGCTTTTATTATGTAAATACCTGTAGGAAAATGTCACAGATATGGAAAATAATCCACTTAACATTTCCATTCATTTTCTAAGTAGTGAATTTTTGATGCAAAACTGCAGTTCTGCCTTAAAAGCATTTTTGCTTTAATGTTTGTACCTGGCTAAAAAATGGTTCAAAATTTGCTTCTGGTGACTCATACTAATGCAAGAGAGTTGTCATCGCTTTGTCTATGATATTTAACAGAATTATACCATATTGAAATGCCCAGTTGTAAAATCAAATACTAAGTTAACACATTATTATCATTTTCAATATTTTTAAATTCAAAACTTTCTTTAACCACCTCCCGCCCGTCATATAGTAAAATGATGGACACAAGGCGGTTCTCTCGTTCTGGGAGGACGTCATATGATGTCCTCCCATTCTACCCGTGCATGCACGGCTCTGGGAGCGCACAGTGCAGCGATCAGCAGTGCGCTGTGTCCCTCGGACTCAGCGGATCACCGATCAACGGAAAGAGCCGAAGATGTCGGCTCGGTCATGTGATCAGCTGTGTCCAATCACAGCTGATTGCATGTAAATAGGGAAATGCCAGTTATCTGCATTTCTCTCCTTACGAGCTGTCACACTGACAGAGGAGAGCCGGTAATCAGCATTCCTCAGACGGGACATGTACACTGATCATCAGGGCACTGATGATCTGTGTAGCCCCAGCAGTGCCACCTGTCAGTGTCCATCAGTGCCAGCTGTCAGTGCTCATCCATGCCACCTGCCAGTGCCCATCAGTGCCACATCAATGCCACATTTCAGTGCCTATAGTGCACATCAATGCCACATATCAGTGCCCATCTGAGCTGGCTCTCAGTGTCACCCATCAGTGCCACCTATCAATGCCAGTCAGTGCTGCCAATCAGTGCCACCTATCAGTGCCAGTCAGTGTGGCCTATCAATGTGCATCAGTGCCACCTATCAGTGCCCTTCAGTGCTGCCTATCAGTGCCGCCTAACAGTGCCAGTCAGTGCCACCTAACAGTGCCAGTCAGTGCCGTCCATCAGTGCCGCCTATCAGTGCCATTTTTGAGTGCTGCCTTTCAGTGCCCATCAGTGATGCCTGTCAATGCCCATCAGTGCCACCTACCAGTGCCTCCTCATCAGTGCCCATCAGTGCCACCTATCAGTGTCCATCTGTGCAGACTATCAGTGCCCATCACTGCAGCCTCATTAGCGCACATCAGTGAAGGAGAAAAATCACTTATTTACAAAATTTTTTAACAAAAACTAAGAAAAAACGTTTTTGTTTTCAAAATTTTCAGTGGCTTTTGGTTTGTTTAAAAGAAATAAAAACCCCAGAGGTGATTAAATACCACCAAAATAAAGCTCTATCTGTCGCAAAAAAAATGATAAAAATTTCATATAGGTACGGTGTTGCATGACCACGCAATTGTCATTCAAAGTGCAACAGCGCTGAAAGCTGGAACTTGGCCTGGGCAGGAAGGGGGTATGAGTGCCCTGTAGGCTGGTGGTTAAAAAATACCTTGTGATCTTGCCATTAAGATGATTCCTTTTATAGGGTGACAACGCTCTGTCCCTGTCTCCCATTTGTTCTCCTTGGGTGTCACCCTGTCACATATTATCTCAAAGACAATACAAATAACCATGCTGTTGCACATTGCACAGATGTGTTCTACTGTAATTATCAGGAAACCTTCCCTGAAAAATGATATCCAGTAATTGCTGGTATGCACTCAAGTAGCAACATCAAAATGCAAGAAAGGATGAAAGATAGATCTGAGTATGTGTTTTAGTTAAAAAATGGTAATAGTTTATGGCACACAGAGCTTTAGCAAGTTCAATCTTCTCAGTTGGTGTGTACATGTACAGCTCTGGTGGGACAACAAAGCTCAGAAATACAAAAACATCCAAAACCATGCTAAAGCAAGACTAAATCAAAGTAGGGAAGCCAAGGACTACAAGGAACAGATGGGGTTTAGAAAATAATGGTAAAAATAAAAATGGTTATAAAAAAATAATAAAATACATTTTTTGTTGCATCTTCCCTAATCATTAAATCTCTTTAACAAATAAATAATATAGTGCAATTTCATAACTGTGAACCATAAATAACTATATAAAGTGACTACAAAAAAAATGTTTTTACATAGAATTTAAAGTTTATATAATAATATACAGTAAGCTGTCACATCTCCTAGCAAACACATTACACATAGCTAGGCACACAGTTAACCCTTTGTTTGCTCCAGTTGTTAACCCCTTCCTGCCCACTGTCATTAGTACAGTGTCCGTGCATTTTATTAGCACTGATTTTTGTATTAGTGTCACTGGTCATGTCAGTGTCACAATGCTCACTGTACTGCCAGAGTCCGCTATAAATTGCTGATTGCCGCTATTACTAGTATATATACCGTCATTTGTAGATGCTATAATTTTCATGCAAACCAATTAATATACACTTATTGGGATTTTTTTTTACCAAAAACATGCAGCAGAATACATTTTGGCCTAACTTTTTGAAGAAATTTGTTTTAATGTTTTTATGGGATATGTTTTATAGGAAAAAAATTGTGTTTATTTTCAAAATTTTCGGTCTTTTCTTCATTTATAGTGCAAAAAATAAAAAACCCAGTGGTGATCAAATATCACCAAAAGAAAGCTCTACTTGTGTGAAAAGAATGATATATATGTAATTTGTGTACAGTGCTGCATAACTGCACAATTGTCAGTTAAAGTAGCGCAGTGCCGTATTGCAAAAAATGGCCTGGTCATGGAGGGGTAAATTTTCTGGAGGGCAAGTGGTTAAGTTTCTCTGAACAATGTCTAGGCACACTATGTTCTGTTTTCCTTTGCTCAATGAACCTATGGTGTTCTCCAAACCTGGTATGCAAGTTTCTAACAGTGCATCCTACATACAGAAGTCCACAGGGATATGGCCAACGTTTATCAACCTTTTCAACACAGAGAAACCCTTGAAATAACTTTCCAGTCTCAGTGAACTTGTTAAAGATTTCTGTATCTACAACCTATGGTCCATTAGAGTGATGGTCGGTAACAAGAAAGCTCCTCACACTTGTGGACAATGGAAAGAAGCGCTCCCTTACAGGTAGCTAAAATGATCTATGGTGTCAGTAGAAACTTCTCTGAGAGGCAGAAATTGCTAATTGCTCAAGGAACCCCTAGCAACCTCTGGAGGAATCCTAGGGTTCCACGGAACCCTGGTTGGGAAACCCTGTGTTAAGCAGTAAACAACATATTGCAAAGAACAAATATGGAACACTTTAATAGGAAAAGTTTTCTCTTTCTATGTGAAGATTTTCTGACCATGTTGGATGAAGTTCCACTCACCCTGTCAAAAAATTAAAGTCATCAGCTACAAAAACTGTAGTTGCTGACTTTTAAAAAACAGCCACTTACCTGTCCTTCGGTCCTGCGGTGTGTCCTCCGCAGCCCGTTTCACCGGCCATCCTGTGTTCCAGGCACCAGCATCTTCAGTGTGGGCACCTGGCTGTGACAGCTTGCGGCTTTACAGCCAGGTACCCACTGAGCATGTGTGTGTAGTAGCGCTGCACTTCATGAATGGTCCTGTAGTCTTCTGGGACCTGTCACGTGTCCCAAAAGACTACAGGGAGGGAGGGATGATACCTTCTGCTTCCAGTCGCCTAGGCGATCGGACTGGAAGTGGGAGAGGGTACCTGTCAAATTCAGGTACCCGCTCCCCAATGGTGCCAATCCTTAATGGGGAGTGGGGGAGCAGAACTTCCCCTTTTGGGTGGAGCCAGGGGCGGACTGACAACTCATGGGGCCCCCGGGCAATAGGGGATCATGGGGCCCCTGTGTCCTTGCCCAAACTCAAAAAAGCCTATGAAAAAGGTACCAGGGGCATATCATGGGGCCCCCTTCTGACCCTGGGCCCTCGGGCAGTGCCCGAGTTTCCAAATGGTCAGTCCGCCCCTGGGTGGAGCTTCACTTTAAGCACTTCCTTTTTCTACACTTGTAGACACCTATTAGGCAGGGGCGGAATGACCATTTGGAAACCGGGCACTGCCCAAGGGCCCGGGGTCAGTAGGGGACCCCATGAGATGCCCCTGGTACCTTTTTCATAGGCTTTTTTGAGTTTGGGCAAGGACACAGGGGCCCCATGATCCCCTATTGCCCCGGGGCCCCATGAGTTGTTAGTCCGCCCCTGCTATTAGGTTTTCAGATATGTTACCACACTAGTGTTTACTTTGGGCTAGTGTTCACCTTGCTCCTGTAAGAGAATCGGCCAGTGTTTGGAAAAAAATCTTTCTATTTTATGGTATTGGTTGAGTAATTAGTCTGACAATTGATCTCCCTCTTTAGCAATTTTCTCCTTCTTAGGTGGTGGAGTTGTATATGTGGAGGAGGCCTCATTAATAAGCTCCCTAGAATATTCTTTGTTGAGAAATTTATTTTTTAGAACCTGGCTTTGTGTCATATAATCTGCCTTCAAGGGACAGTTGGCTCTCTGTCTGCAAAATTGCCTTTTAGGATTTTTTTTTATCCATCTCGGGTGGTGGTAACTATTAAAATGTAAGCATGAGGTATCCAGCAGAGGGTTTGAAGTGGTTTCTGGAGATAACAGTTTGTGCCTAGGTGCTTTCATTCTAAATCTTAAAATATCAGAGAATTTGGGTCACATACATATTTAAAGTGAGATCAAAAGGTAACAATGCACAAAATCAGCTACTAAGTCAGGCTTGTCTTTTTATTTACTTGCTACACTTAGATTGTGCCCTCTGGTGTACTTTTTATGTTATGACCAGCCAAAAATATCCCACGATTTCCTAGAAGAAAGATGAATTAACCATTGGTGTCCTGATCTATTTGGATCCCTGCTGGACATAGCAGTCACTTCCCTGTGCTGGCTTATGACACTGTTGCACCAGCTTTCTTCTGAATAGCCTTTAATGTGAGTTGCTGAAATACAAGAGCGTAGGTACCACTCAGTGGCGTCCTGAGGCAGGTTTGGGGGTGCGGTCCACATCAGGTGACACCGACCGCACGGGGTGACACCGGACCCGCTCCACAAAAAGGTAAGTTGTAAAGCAAGCCAACGATCCCTGCAGGATGGATCGGATCCATCCTGTGGGGATCGTCGGCTTTCTTTACAACTTACCTTTTATTGGAGTGGGTCCGGTGTCACCCCGTATAGGTTGCCTGCCGACGATCTTCGTCGGCATGCAACCTATACGGGGTAACACTGAACCCGCTCCAAGAAAAGGTAAGTTGTAAAGAAAGCCAACGATCCCCGCAGGATGCATCGGATCTGCAGATTGAGCATAATGGATCGGAGTCCGATCCATTATGCTCAATCCGCAGATCAGATCCATTCTGCAGGGATCGTCGAAGGGGGTGTCACCAAGTGTTACCACACCGGGTGACACCTACCCTAGGGACGCCTCTGGTACCACTGCAAAATAGAGAACATAGATGATGACACAAGCTGGTCTATGCTGCACAGTACTTTATTAACCATACATAAGGCACATTAGTAACTCATAGTGATACTGTGACACATTTCACTCTTTGTAGCACCTAATGATATAGTGATTATATGTGGATATCCAGCCAAAGTAAAAACTAGAGCCACCCATGCCCAGAGTGGTTCTCTCACAGCTGCCTTTAACCAGATAACCTGTATAGGAGTTTAAGTCACTATGCATTCAGGGATGAATGCACAAAACACGGGTCGTCTGCATTCTGGGCATTCATTCCTGAAAGCACAGGGCCCCAAAAATGAGTACCACTCAGTACAGCGTTCAGCCCCATTTAGCCACAACCTGCTATAGACTTTGACAAGCTGTACGCAGTGATGCTGGAGGCACATGTGCGTCCCTGGCACACCATATTGTCAGGAAGCATGCACAGCAGCTATAAGCCACTGTTTGCAATGGGACTAAATGATATAAGTATCAATTGTTTCTCTTGATACTGGA